TTAGCGCTTTCCAAAAGACTTTCCAAAATGTTCACTAGCAAAGTTAAAAAGAAAAAAAAAAAAAGACCAAAATCAAACATCCTAAATGAGCAAGTGAAAGGGCAGGTTACATAGCAGGATACATAATCCCAAATTTTATAAAAATGGTATGCTCCTGCCTGTATCATGTGGGGGGGGAGAGGAGGCTAATGTGCACTTCATCATGTGTGTAAGAATCTGTGAATGTATTTGTAGCAGGTTTTCACACAATGTAAAGTGTATGATGTTCTTTAGAAACGGGAGGAGAATTTGTGGCATAAAAACCAATCCTGTACTTGTTCGTCCTCTGCCTGAAAAGCTCCTTCTCCAGATATTACTGCGGCTTGCTTTTTCCTGGGCCACTTCCCAGAGTGGCTTCCTAACTCATTCCTTTTACACCAGCACCTCCATCATGCTCTCCTTCCTTTAATACTGGCATCTTTTTCATAGCTCTTACCACTACTGACATTATACCATGTATGCATTTGTTTTATTTGTCCATGACCTTTAATACTGGAATCTTTTTCGTAGCTCTTACTACTACTGACATTATATTACATATCCATTTGTTTTATTTGTCCATGACCTTTAATACTGGAATCTTTTTTGTAGCTCTTACCACTACTGACTTTATATTCCATATCCATTTGTTTTATTTGTCCATGAGAGTAGACTTTGTTCTCTTTGTTGTCTCCCCAGTGTCTTAAATATAACTTGCACACACACACAGGTAGGGGCTCAATAAATCTGTTGAATGACTAAGATGTAACAAAGGTGTCCCTGGCTCAGCGTGTCCTGCCTAGGCAAACCCTAAAGTTCAAGTACAGCCCTGACCACACCCATGAAGGCCCCAGAGGTCCTCTAAGGCCTCTAACCAACTTACCCATTTTTTTGGCCATAACTCTCAGAAAGAAATACTTTCAAACCCCAGTGACTTTCTCTCTCTCTAATATATATACACACATATATATGTATATACACCAGTGCCTATATATATAAAATGTGTGTGTATGTATATATTATATATATACATACATAATGCCAAAAAAGGCATTTTAAGGAAGGAAAAACCTATATTAAAACTATAATAGTACATATACATAACAAAAAATGAATACAAGTCATGATTGGGTACCTCTTGTAATTGCAGAGGTCAAACGTGACTTGAGTATTATACCTACATATATACCCAAAAGATACAATTACAACAAATTTAGTTAAGTCATATTATTGGCTTTTATTAGCAATTCTAGAATCGGGCAACACCTCATTCTATAAAGCAGAATGTTCCAATGATCTGAGTAGAGGAAGTAGACTTTATTGACAGAAAAGGGCTGAAAAAAGCAGAAATAAGGAAGAAAAAGAAGATTGGTCATTTCAGAGTTACTTTCTGGCCAAGCACGGTGGTTCCCATATATAATCCCAACTCTTTGGGAAGCTGAGGTGGGAGGATTGCTTAAAGTCACAGCCTGGTAAACATAGCTAGACCCCCATTTCTATAAAAAATGAAAAAGTAGGTGAGGTGAGTATGGTGGCATTCACCTATAGTCCCAGCTACTCAAGAGGCTGAGATTGGAAGATTGTTTGAGCCCAGGAATTCGTGGTGGCCTCAGTGAGCTATGATTGTGCCATAGCACAGCAGCTTGGGTGACAGAGCAAGATCTTATCTCCAAAAAATAAAGCAAAAGCAAAAACAAAGTTGCTTTCCCTTTAAGGTTAGGACAAAGAGGACTTCCTTATTATATATCATGCCAGCTAAATTCATATTCTTTGAGGGTTTGACTGCTCTCCCCCACTCCCTTCGATTTCTCAGAAGGTCAGATAAACAACTGGGTTTTGGTTTGGTAAAGTGGAACTTTAGCATGAGGGACTCCATTTTGATTTGATCTGGTTTCTCGGGGTCTACTCTAGGAACCTAGTCCAAAACAGTGGGCTCCCATAAATTTTGTTCAACAACAAGACTTACTATGGGCATAGTTTATGGGGGATTTTCTTTCTCTCCTTTTATCTTTCCTTTTTTTTTTTTTTTTTTGAGACAGAGCCTCAAGCTGTCCCCCTGGGTAGAGTGCTATGGCTTTACTGCTCACAGCAACCTCCAACTCCTGGGCTCAAGCGAGTCTCCTGCCTCAGCCTCCCAAGTAGCTGGGACCATAGGCGCCCGCCACAACGCCCGGCTATTTTTTGGTTGCAGCCATTATTGTTGTTTGGCGGGTCTGGGCTGGATTCGAACCTGCCACCTTAGATGTATGTGGCTGGTGCCTTAGCCGCTTGAGCCACAGGCGCCGAGCCCTTTTTTTTTTTTTTTTTTTGAAGATGCCGCTCTCTACCCCTTGAATCAAGATGCCACCTAATAAAATAAAATAAAATGCCACTGCTGCCATAGAGCAGTGTTTCTAGAAGTGGCAGAAGGCTCATTTGCATACTAATCACGGGTGACTGCTATAAACGCAGATTCTTGGCTCTATCCTAGACTTAATGGATGAGACTCTAACTGGAAAGTCTGTAAGTTTAACAACCCTCTTCTTGCCCCTATCTCCCATGTCCCCCACACCCCGTGTAATTCTGAAGCCAGTAAAACTTGAGAGCCCCAGCGGGAGAGGTTATGAGTATCCAGGACATGGGGTCTGCAGGGCTTGATGCATGTTTAGGAAAGAGGTTGATTCTCCAGTCAGTCCCACTCAGCCGGTGAGTGGTAGAACAAATGAATCCAACTTCATCAACGGTAAATCCACTCTCACTTTAGCCCTCTGCCTTTGCCTGGAAGCACCCCTGGTGATTCTGCTGCTGCCTCCCAGACTCAGGCTCTCCTAGGTCCACACCCTCTGAAAGGGCACCCACTTTTCTCCAGGAACCTTAACCCCTTGCTCCTCCCCAGGTCCCCACAGTGTCTTTTCTTTTTAGCCTTCAGGCAACAAGCACCTCCTGTTTTGTTTTCACCATAGGGTTTAATAGTTCCCCACCCTCAGTCTTTAGAACAGAAACATTATAACCACAATCTCTAATTACCCTGGCCTATTTCCAGCCCCAAGCCCAGAGGAGGATAGATGCCATTATGAGGCCATCACCCTCCCACTGGGATGCCCTGGAAAACTTGATGCAGGGGCCCTTGACAAAGAACCTCACACAATTTACATTCTGAAACCTGCTACAAGTTTATTTGCAGATCCCCATATGCATAATAAAAACATTTATTATGCTCTTCTATATATAAGACACTCCAAAACTACACACTTTGTGGACAAGATCTCATTCGATTCTCAAAGCAGCCCTCTAAGGTAGATACTATTATCACCCCCATTGTAGAGTTGGGGAAACTGAAGACACATAGGGACTAAGGAACCTGATCAAGGTCTCATTGCTGTAAATAGCCATACCCGCGTTGAAACCAATGACTCTATATTCCACTCCGTGTTCTCTCTAGTCACATGACATGGTATTTGTCTAGTTGGAGTGACAATGTGTCCTTATTGGATAATGACACCATTCAGTACTGCTCTGGGAAGCTCTGGGGGTATTAGTTGCCCTACTCCTCAGGGGTTAAAACTACAGGGGCTAGAAGGAAAGGGTTCTAGCTCCTTTGTGTAGCTGTTGCTGAGAGGCCCGTCAGGATAGAGACCCATTGAATCGCTTTTAGGTTTTGCTCCCACTTGTGTGCAGTTCTAATGAACTCAGAATATTCTCTAACACCTAAAGCCTGGCCCTGCCTTCTTTGGCTGAGTTCTCTGCTCAGCTCTCTGTCAGGACCTCCGAAGACAGAGTGTGGGGCAGGAGAGCAGTGGTCTCCTAGTATGCCAGACAAACCCAAATGGGTCCCTCTGTCTGGGCCCAAACTGATGCATCAGATCCTGGGGGAAAGAGCCCTAACAGGGCTCAGGTACATATTAGCAGTTGTTCTTTCTGGGAAGGGGGTGGGTGGGTTTTCTTCCATGTGCTTATTTGCGTATTCTATTTCTTCAGAATAAACATGCATTACCTTTTTTCAATGCTAGTTTAACAAGAAATCTCAAATATTCAAATTCAGAAAATTTCGATTTAATATTTTGGGAGAAATCAGCCTCCCACAGATGTGTTTTTCATCAGGTCTTGTGTGTTACGAAAAAATTGTTGATAGTAGTAAACTTAAGTTAAACTGCTTATGTTTCAATCTCATTGCTACCAATTAGTAACTGTGACCCCTGGTACCTTACTTCCATAAAAATGGGGATCATGGCTCCACGCCTGTGGCTTAAGTGGCTAAGCCGCCAGCCATGTACACCCAAGGTGGTGGGTTCAAATCCAACCCGGGCCGCCAAACAACAATGATGGCTGCAACCAAAAAATAGCCGGGCGTTGTGGCGGGCGCCTGTGGTCCCAGCTACTTGGGAGGCTGAGGCAGGAGACTCGCTTGAGCCCAGGAGTTGGAGGTTGCTGTGAGCAGTGAAGCCATGGCACTCTACCCAGGAGAACAGCTTGAGGCTCTGTCTCAAAAAAAAAAAAAAAATGGGGATCATAATAGTACTCTCCTGCTATTAGCAAACAATCAGTAGTCTATGAGGTGGGCATCCTCATAGCTGAGGACCTCTAGGGTACTCCGGAGCTAGCAGCTCAGCGGGATTTGAGACCAGGCAGTCTGACACTAGGGTTTAGCTTTAAGCTGCTGGTCTAAAGGTGGACATCGAAAAGGGCAGTTGTCAGGATTACACAATAGAACTCTCATAAAGTGCTTAGCAAAAGCCTGACACTTAATAAGTGCTCAGTAAAGTTTCCTACGGTCACAGTAATATCGGGTGGGTTTTGTTTGTTATAAAATAAACATTCATCCAGTGCGATTTAATTAAGTAAATAATGAGAAAGAGCGCTGGGGCGGGCGGGATGGATGCCAGGGCCAGGAGCGGGTGCCGGGCTGGGTGGGAGGAAGCGCCGGCGGGGCGCGCGGGTGTACCGGGCGGGCCCCGGGGCGGGGTCAGGAAGGCCCCGCCCAGCAGCCACCTGCGACAGGTGGAGCGCGCGACACCGGGCACTCGGCCATGTCCGCGGAGGGCGCGGGACCCACACCGGGGCCCGAGCCGGGGTCCGAGCCGAGGCCACTGTGCCCCGAGCACGGCCAGGCGCTGAGCTGGTTCTGCGGCTCGGAGCGACGTCCCGTGTGCGCCGCCTGCGCGGGGCTGGGCGGCCGCTGCCAGGGGCACCGCATCCGCCGGGCGGAGGAGCACGCCGAGGAGCTGCGGGTGAGCGGCCGTGGGCGCCGGAAGGCTGGGGGCTCCGGAAGGCGAGGGGCTCCGCAGGGGGACGAGCCGGGCGGGGCCCAGCTGGGAGTGGGGAGCCCGGGCCCCGGCGCGCCGGACGGCCAACCCAGGCACCCAGGCTCTGCAGTGGTTTGGGCTGTAGAACGTGGCGGTTAAGGGTGTGGCCTATGTGCGCAGGCTGGTCCAAGTTCGAATCCACTCCCTCTCATCCTAGTGAGTCGCGTAGCTCTCTGAGCCTCAGTGTCTTCATCTGTAGTTTGGGGACAATGATAAGAATAGCGCGTATTTATTGGAGTTGTTGGGAGATATAAATGGGATAATGGGTAAAATGCTGTTTACTCATCGGTGCCTAGCATGTAGCGGCGGACACAGCCCTTCCCCCGTCCCCAGTACCCCCTCCATTGCGCATCGAGGGAGCTGGAGTTGGCCTTGGGCAATAAAGGGCTCAGCTATTCCAGTTCCCTAGTGCAAGGTGTGCCCCAGCTCTCGCTCCTGTGGAAGCTGGCCCTTCCTTACCCCTCAATCCCTCAATCCCGCAGCTCAAAGCCTCTTCCTTTCCCCTACCTGCTTCAGGCTTCTGGCACGGTGATCTCTTTCTCTTTCTGGACTGGGTCTGACTGTTCTTCAAGCTGGTTTCACTTGGATAAAGAGAAGGGGGCGGGGAGGCTGTCACTCCTTCACCTAGGGTTTCCTCCCACCTCCACTTCCAGCTTGACTCCTGGCTGGTCACTTTCATGTCACCACCTGGACTCTGAGCTGCTAAGATTGGAGAGTCAAGTCACCCTGGAGCTTCTCCCTTCTTCCACTCTAGCTGTGGCCCCTGGGGATTAACTTGTGTTTCTCCTATACCCACTGGAGTTCAGCCCTGCTGTGAGGCCTGAGGGCTCTCACTGGGGACCTCACCTACTCAGACTGGACTGTAATAAACACACTTTACCTGGTGCCAGGATTGGGAGAGGTTCAGTTTTTCAGTGTTACTTAAGAACTCCAGCTGGTTCTTTTGTTACCAGTATCAATGAGAGTGATGATGAAAATAAACTAGAATGGGCAGCTCCTGTGGCTCAGTGGGTAGGGCGCCGGCCCCGTATACCGAGGGTGGCAGGTTCGAACTTGGCCTCTGCCAAACTGCAACAACAAAAAAAAAGCTGGGCATTGTGGCGGGTGCCTGTAGTCCCAGCTACTTGGGAGGCTGAGCCAAGAGAATCATCTAAGCCCAGGAGTTGACAGTTACTATGAGCTATGACGCCATGACACTCTACCAAGGGCGATAAACGGAGACCTGTCTCTAAAAAAAAGAAGAAGAAAATAAACTAGGATAACATGGTATAGTCAATTTGCATGATGGATAGAAACTTTGCAAATTCTAGATTACTTAAATACCTGTTATCTCATTCCATCCAGACCAAGCCTTTGATGTGGTCATCCTACCTACATTTTACAGATGAGGAAACTGAGGCAGAGAACAGGGTAGTGACTCCTCTAAGATTCCTTATGTGTGGGGTCTGGACTGGGGGAGTCGTTAAGTAGGCAGGAGGAAACTGCTTTTTTTGCTTCAGTGGTTGGAGAGAGGAAATGACGCTCTCATTTTGGGGGTGAGAATTTAGGCCTTAAAAAGTAGCCATCGGGGCTGGAACAAAGAGGTGCAGGGAGTGAAGCCTGGGGCAGGTGGTAAACCTGGAGCTCCTTTTGGAATGTCCTCTGCCTCAGGAAGTTTTCCCTGAACCCCCCACCTCAGGCCCTAAGCATATGAGTCTTGCCTTCTCTCTCTCCAATTAAGAGTGGATTTTTGTCTTTTGCACTCTCCTTCCCTATCCCTCCAGCCAACAAAGAAACTTCACTGCAAGACAAGACTGTTGCTGAACTGAGGAAAAACAGCCCCAGTTCTCCTGCTGTCTTACCTCTGAATTCCTGCCCTGCAGCTAGTCTCGGTTTTCTTAGTCCTGTGGTGCACGCTGAACACAGCTTCCTCCTAGCCAGTTCTGTGACTTTATGTTTGGACCTGTGACATATAAGACTAATTTCCACTTGTGGTGGTGGTGGGGGCTGAGTATGAGGGCTTCCGGAAGAGGTAGCTGAGTTGCCTTTTGCCAGATAGAACTGAGGCAAAACTCTTAGGAGAAATAGCAGAGGGACTGCTGCTTGGAAGATCTCCGACGATTACCTTGAGAAATGGAATGGAAAAGCAGGGGCCTGGCATATCTCCTTGGGCAAGACACTTCTTGATGGGCCTCAGTTTCTCCAGCTCTAAAACTTTGTACTACTCTTATGGATGTTGCTGGTAGCTTTGAGGGCTGTGAAGGGCTGAAGCTCTTGTAGTCCAGGAAGTGGGGGTTCGTTCATTCAACAAATACTTATTCAGGGCCTTCTATATGTAGGAACTCACTCTGAGGTAGGGGGACCTCCTGCAGTGGTGGAAGGACAGAGGCCAAAAATAGTAAATGGACACACATAGTCAGAGAGTTATAAATGCAAGGAAGAAAAATAAAGCAAAAAGAGAGATTGGGTGAGGTGGGAGATGGTCAGGGAAGGCCTCTCGGAAGAGGTGATATCTGAGTAGAGTGGGGGAGTGAGACACAAACACACATGCATGTATAAACTGATGACAGAAGGAACAACAGGTGCAAAGGGACTGAGGTCAGGACAAGTTTGGTGTGTTTAAAGAACAGAAAGAAGGCCAATGTTGAGGGTGGTAGGAGGTGACATTGGAGAAATGGGCAGAGTCACATCAGGTAGGGCCATATTCACGAAGGTGAGAAGCTTGATCTTACTGTGATTGTGTCAGAAAGCCATTAGAGGGTTTTGAGCAGGAGCGTGACCTGATCTGATTTCCTTATAAAAGGTGGCTGTAGGGAGTGTCAAGAATGGAAGCCAAGTTTGGAGGTTCCAACAGTGGCTTCTGTGAGAGATGATAGCAATCTGGGTAAAATAGCTGGAGTGGAGGTGACCAGAAATGGCCAGAGGAGAGAGAGACTTTGGAGATAGGGCTGATAGCATTGATGGATTAGATGTGGGGTTTTTGGACTGGATAACAGGCAGGTGATTGATTGTGCTACTTAATGAATGGGAAAAACTTAGGGTAGACCAGGTTGAGAACTGTGTTCTGCTTAGGTGTGGGTGTGGACCAGTCAGGGAACTGGATAAAGGGAGGGTTGAGCATGTGTGCCAGGAAGTGATTATAATAATGGGCTGTGGGATTTCTGGGTAAGAAAGGAAGTGTGGCTACTGAAGGGGGTGATGGACAGTAAAAAGTGGTGAGAGTGATATGCTGATGGCCCCAAATGAGCTGAAGAATTTTTAGAATGGGGATTCTAGAATTGGTGATTGGGAAAGATGGGCCATGGTGAGCAGGGTGTGGGTCTTTGAAATGAGGATTTTGGAGGTGGTATAGTTTTGATAATAATGATATCTGGGATATAACTGTGGGTATAGGTGGCTGAGTTGCAATGAAAGGGGAAAAACAATCACTGGAATGGAGTGAATGGTTCACATACAGAGATTAAAACTTCATCAGAGTTGTTTGTGTTGCAGAACAAGATTGTGGACCAGTGTGAGAGGCTGCAGTTACAGAGTGCTGGCATCACCAAATATGCGGCTGAAGTCCTGCCAGGGAAGAACCAGAGAGCAGTGGTAATTCTTTCCCTTTCACCTCTACTGAGGGCCCACTCCCATGATAAGACCATGCCTTAGAGATGTGAACAAGTATAGGGCTCCTTCCCAACCTTACAGACTCACTGTGCTACTAGCAAAGTTGGACGTCCAGGAAAGATGGTTTTCATTTTTTCTGAGCCTCAATCTTACAATCTGGGCAGAGTGGGCTTGTTCCTATTACCATATTGGGTGCAAAGACTCTGCTAGAAAATGACATTGTTGGTTGTCTTAGGGTAGGGAATCAAGAAGGGTAGTATTCTTCTACCATCTAATTAGTTGCTGCTCAGCTCCAGAATTATAAAATAACCTAGGAACTTTTACATTGAATATAGTTTATGACAACCTTATGCAGCAGGTGGCAGTAACATCTTCATTTACAGAAGGGGAAGTGGGTCTTACAGCGATTAATAATGTCCAAAGCCCCACAGCTTCTTGGCAGAGTCAGTCTATGACCTAGACCTTCTGACTCCCAGGCCCATGCTGTCCTTGTGTGGACTCATTGCCCCTCTCAAGCATGTCCTTCAGGGGCAAGTGCTGTGATTTTCTTTCTGCACATTCCCTCCCTTCTTCCCCCTAGTACACAGAGTAGGCTTGGCACTGCCTTACTCAAGGTTCTTTTAATTGCATGGAACAGAACCCACTTGAATTAACATAAGCAAAACATGGAATTTCCTGGCATGATACAGGAGTCTCTCAGAACCTAAAGGGTCTATCTCTACTTCATTTTGCATGATACTATCAGTATGTCAACTAACCTCCCTCTCCTTCTTCTCCTCTCCCCATCTCGTTCATCCCCTTTATTCTTTCTATTTTCTGTTCTTACTGCCCTGCCTGCGACTTTAGTACTATGTCAAATAGAAGCCAATGTAGCAGATCTTGACTTTAAGGGGAGAACTTGCAACATTTCACCATTTGTTTATTGTTAATCCTTACTGAGCACTACCATGTGCAGGCACCGTTGTTCAATGTGCTAGGTTCACAATGAATAAAACACAAAAATTCCTGTTTTCATGAAGCTTTAATTCTAGCCAGAGGAGAGGGACAATAAAAATGGAATATATGCTATGTGAGAAGGTGATAAGTGCTATGGGGAAATACAAAATAGGAAAGGATAGAGAGGATGTATTGAGGACTGGGATTGCAACTTCATGTGCTGTGACCAGGAACGACCTCATTAAGAAGGTTGCTATTGGCTGGGTGTGGTGACTCATGCCTGTAATCCTAGCACTCTGGGAGGCTGAGGTGGATGGATAGCTTGAACCCCCAAGTAGGAGACCAGCCTGAGGAAAAGCGAGACCCCATCTCTACTATAAATAGAAAAACTGAAGCAAGAGAATCGCTTGAGCCCTAGTTGGAGGTTGCTGTGAGCTGGGATGCCATGGCACTCTACCCAGGGTGACAGCTTGAGACTATGTCTCAAAAAAAAAGAAGGTTGCTATTTGCACAAAAGCCAAGAAGGAATGGAAATGGAGCATGTATCTGGGGAAAGTGTGTTTCTGAAAAAGGGAACAGCCTGAAAAGTGTGTTTCTGAAAAAGTTCAAAGGCCCTAAGGTGGGAGTGTACCTGGCGCATTGGAGAAACAGCAAGGGGGCCTGTGAGGTTGCAGCTTAGTAAAAACTCGAGAAGGCAGTAGATAGAGCTGGATTGTCCCTCACTGGCCACATGGGGACTTTGCCTTTTGTTTGGGGTATGATGGGAAGCCACTGACAATTTTTGAGCAGGGTAAGATGATTTGAACTAAGATTAAAAAGGAGCACTTTGGCCGGTACACTGAGAAGTGACTATAGGCAGCAGAAGTAGAAGCAGGGAGACCAATTAGGAAGCCACTATAATAATGGGGTGGGAGACAAGGTTGGTTTGGGCCCAAGTGATGGTGGTGAAGAGTGGTTAGATTTGGCATATGTTTTGAAGAAAGAACACGATTTGCTGATGGATTGGATATAGGCTGTGAGAGAAGGGGTAGGACTCAGGGTCGCTCTGAAGCTCTTTTATTTGAGCACCTAGAGGGATAGATAGCCATTTACTGGGTGGGGAAGGACTGCATGTGGGGCAGTGGGTGACGTGGGAGAGGGTTAGGAATTCCACTGTAGAGGTGTTAAATTTGAGATACCTATTAGACATCCAGGTGAAGATTCTGGGTAGGGAGAAGCCTAGAGATATAAATTTGGGATTCCTCCATGTATAAATGGTATTGAAAGCCATGGGAATGAATTCACTAAGTAAATGAGTATAGATAGGAGAGTGTGGGCGTCCAAAGACTGAGCCTGGGGTACTCCAATTCAGTGGTTGGCCCCTGAGAAGATAGGAGGAAACAGCAAAAGAGAACCAAGAAGGAGCAATCAGTGAGACAGGAGTAAAACTAAGAGCACAGCATCTCAGAAGGGGTTCCAAAGAGGTGGGAGAGCATTGGCTGGCAATGGGGAACAACAAATTGGCAAACAACTCCAAATGGTGCTGAGCGATCAAGCAAGGTGAGAACTGAGATGGATTATATTGGATTTAGTAACATGAACATCATTGGAGATCCTGATGAGAGGACTTTTTTTGTAGACTGGTGGGGGGTGAAAGTCTGATTGGGAATTTCACCCCAAAAAATCTGGAGTGTGGAGAGAATGGAAAAAGAGCAATATCAGCCTGAGCCAGAGTGAGATCCCATCTCTTAAAAAAAAAAATAGCCAGAATTATCTCATATTGCTCTTTTTCTTTTTCTTTTTAGAGACAGAGTCTCATTTTGTTGCCCCAGGTAGAATGCATAGCTCATAGCCATCTCAAATTCTTGGGCTCAAGTGATTCTCTTGTCTCAGCCTCCCCAGTAGCTGGGACTACAGAAACCACGAGATAATTGGCCCAGGCAAATCTTTTTTTTTTTTTTTGAGATGGAGCCTCAAGCTATCCCCCGGGTAGAGTGCCATGGCATCACGCTCACAGCAAACTCCAACTCCTGGGCTCAAGCGAGTCTCCTGCCTCCACCTCCCAAATAGCTGGGACCACAGGCGCCCGCCACAACGCCTGGCCATTTTTTGGTTGCAGCCATCATTGTTGTTTGGCGGGCCCGGGCTGGGGATTCGAACCCGCCACCTTAGGTGTATGTGGCTGGCGCCTTAGCCGCTTGAGCCACGGGTGCCGAGCCAGCCCAGGCAAATCTTGAGGAGCTTTGTTGTGGAAGGAAGCAGAGAAATGGAATGCTACCTGGAGGGGTATATGGGATCAAGAGGGGTTTGGGGTATTTTGCTCATTTTAGATGGGAGAAATTGCTCTAATTACATACTATTAGAAATGGTCCAGTAGAGCAGGGAAAATTAATGACACAAGAGAAAACAGAGAATACAGCAAGGACGATGGGATCTAGTGGACAAGTGTAAGGGTTGGCCTTAGATAAGAGTGTGCACAGCTCATCCACAGGAACAGGGAAGGCAGCATGTGTGGGCACAAGTGCAGGTATTTAGGTAGGTAGTGGGTAGAGCTTGAGGAAGTTCTTCCAGTTGCTTCTATTTTTGCACTAATTGTCACCCTCGCTGTAAGTTCTTAATGATACCATTTCTCAGTTGATGGATAAGTTTTGTTCTCCATCATTCTGTTAATGTAGTAATACACTGATGGATTTTCTAATGCTAAACCATTCTCAAATACCTGGGGAAAACCAACCCAACTTTTTCATAATGTATGTTTTTTTAACTTTTTATTTTGAAATCATTGTAAATTCACATGCAGTTGTAAGAAATAGTATAGCAATGCCTTTCAACGAGTTTCTACCCTGGCAACCTCTTGCCAGTGCATATTATAACTAGAAAATTGCATTGCTACAGCTCGCCCTATTCAAATTTTGCTAGTTTTATGTGCACTGATTTGTACATGTGTGCAAGTGCATGTGTATGTTTAATAATTTAATTCTATGTCGTTTTATCACATGTATAGATTTTTGTGATAACTGCCACAATCAAGATACAGAACAGTTCTATCACAAAAGCGTCCCTTGCGCTACCCTTTATTAGCCTCACACCCCCTCCCTTTCCCTTTGGTATTATTGTTAACACACAATTTCTGGATTTGGATTGCTAATCTCAGTTTAGGGATTTTTGGTTTTGTTGTAGGATTTTTGCATTTATGCTCAGGAGTGAGATTAGCCTATGAATTTCATGTCTTTATAGTCCTTATCAGATTTGGTATCAAGGCTTATGAACTTTATTAAATAAATTGGGAAACAACTCCATTTTCCTTTAAAGTTTAAGACTGTGTACAGTTGTTCTTTGTTTTGATCAAAGTAGTCACAGCTTTCATTATTTTGCTAGTCTTCCTTTGATCTACTCGTTTGTATCTTTGTTTTTTTAAAATATGATGAATTGTACACTTTTGGCTCGGCGCCTATAGCTCAACCGGCTAAGGCGCC